TCGGCTGGACAAGCAGTAGTTACTTCGCTTTCCTTGCCGGAGGCATTCACAACACATGCCCAAACAATCGTAACACGGATTGTTCTCTAGGATGAGTTTACAGGTATGCTTAAGTTGCCTTAAATTATATGCACTCAAAACAGGCATGGGTCCCACTAACTTGCTCAAGCGGCCGTGAATCGTCTGAGCGCAGCTGTATGGCTGGGTGCAACGACTTCCCTGTGACTAGAACGCCAAGCGTAAATAACTTGAGGAAAATCAGATACGATCCTACCGCAAGGCATTCCTCAGCGTTTTCTGGTGGTCTGCAACAAAGGCATTTTTAAATCGAATAATCAGGTCAGGCGATGAGTGAAAAAGCATTATTAATCATTTAATTCATTGTCAGAAAGATGAATTCAGAGTTTGTACAAAGTTTAATACGCCTTCTAAGTGTGAGGCAAATTCTGCAATTTAGGATTCGCAGGGAGGCGTAAACAGGAAGAATGTTGACGCTTCGTTAACAAATGCCAATGCTTCCTTATCAGTCAATCCTGCGCTATCTGGCTTATTCACAGCTGTATTATTAATAAGCCGTTTTGAAAATGCTTAGTGTAAGATAGTCACGAGTGGGCAAAATCCGTTATCCGGCTTGTCCTCGTTATAAAAGCGCCATAAATGTGAGTCGACGTTCTACAATTCCCTGCCGTCTTCATCCTCCCTTCCGTCCCCATCACTGGCTATGTTACTTGACCATTTGTTCGTACAAGCAACGATTCTGTTTTTGCTCAAGCGGAATCCAATGTGTTATTCTTGAACTCCATCGGCTGTCTCTCACGGGAGTCACATGATCAACCCCCATGATGCTATAGGATGCTGAAACTACGTCAACTAATCCGGTCCATTTTCCAACTTGCGCATTCAGAACGTGATCCAAAATTGGACAAATTACTGGATTTTAAGTCGAAGATCTTAAGATTTAATGTCGATTTAGATTTTTACAGATTTTAAAATTTTTTAGTTTTATTTAAAGTCTTGATTTCACGATAGTCCTTGGTCTAGTCAATGTCCTTGAGAGAATGACACATTCGCGATGTGTAAAGCTACCGTTTTAATTTACCATATGCGTTTTAAAGCTCGATGGCGACATTTGAAAAGCCTAGAAGAATAGGTGTTCTATGGAAAAGGAGCATGAAAGCCAAAGAGGCTTTTTGAGCATGCGTGTTACCAATGGGATTAATGGCAACAAAGCATCTGATTTTGCAGTTTATTGAAAATGTCAACATTCTAGCAGCTATTGTACCCAAGATCTCGAACCTTTAAACTAATTTTTCAAAATATTGTAAATTACATTAAGCTTTGACTTGTTACGATTAATTTCGAAGATTCTGCCTACCAGACAGACAGCGAAAATCGATAAAGTCTCTCAAAGACCACAGTGACGAAATAATTGAATGACACTTCTTGACACTCACTCTAATACTAAAAATAAACCTAATCATCAAATGCACTGTAGCTTAGCCATGCGTCTATTCCAAAATTCTAAGCAAAAGTTATACATTGCCTTGAGAATTTCGAGAAGTTTTCAGAACCTGTTGCAGAACTAGCGAATGAGTGGTATCGCAGATCCATCGGAAAGCTCATCCATGAAAAACCGTGGAGATGAACGTGGTTTATCAGATCGAATAATTCCTGCGACGAGGTCTTCATCGAATAAATCATACGACGTTGGGCGAAAAATCTCTGAATGACATTTGGAAGCTCTAGTGAATGCAAAAACAGCAAATTCTGATATCATTTTCCATGGTATCTACTTTGAACACCACCTTAGTCTGAGCAGTTCAATAATGGGAGGTAATAATGGGAGGCCAAACATTATATGAAGAATCATTACATCTTCTTTTTCATCTTCCTTGACCGCCTCTCCTTTCAGGTTGCGGGAGTATCTCTGAATATGTGTTTTAATAATGGCCAACTCGTAGCAAATGTACGAGCTCGTTTAATTTGCCTGAAAGCTGGAACTCTTTCGTCCGGCTGCTTGTTTGAAAAAGTTAATGGAAC